TTACTACCAATATGATTTGAGGTAAATGACAATGTCTCTGAATTTCATCTTCCTTCTCTGTCAGAAAATAGGGTTGAATTTTTTGAACTTTAAGGTTCATTTCTAGTTCTAAACATCTATGATTCTCTGGGTAAAAAATAAATAGAAAACAATTATCCTAGCTTATAGGTTGCATATAAGTGAATGAGTGCTAGATTTAGGGTCAAAGTTCTTGGGTTCAATTTCTGGTTTTGCCACTTGCTACCTGAGTGACCTTGGGTAAGACATTTATCCTACCTCAGCTTTCTCAACTATATATATTAAGCAAGCTAATTAAATGACATTCAAAGTCAATCCTGTGTCTGTATCTATGATCCTTGGAATTATAAGGCACTTTTAATCATAATAGTAGGATAATTTGTGTTACTGGTTGTTAAAATTTTAACAGTATAGTTCTTTTTAGAGATTAAACAATGATAGCAGGGAGAAAGGGAGGCTCTTGTAAATCTATATGCCCCAAAAAGTTCCATGTTTTTTTATTTTAAAATTATCTGGCACTGGAGGTCTTTTCTTTGATGTCAGCAGTTTTCCCTGAATTAGTAACTACAGATGCAATCTTCTACCTTTAAACTCCCTTGACACTCACCTTGCGTTGGAGTTGGGCCTGTCAGATGCATTTCTGTTCTCCTCTTTCAATCCTAGTTTGTACAAAGCTTTCTAGAACCACAATTCAAAGTCCTTGAAGTGCCAGCAGCATTTCTAAAACCACATCGCAAGTATGGGGCACTAAACAGAAAGACTATAAGACGAGGATAATATATGAGTATTTTTCTGGCCTTGTGTAGAGCATGTGGTTGGTTCACCTGAAGAAGTTCCTAAAATTTAACTTGGTTTGAATATAACCCAGCTGACAGGCTTTGCATACATGTAAAATCATATAACAAATTAATTTTTCTGACAATTCTTATTTGAATATAGTGTTTGTTATCTCTGTTGTAATCAAATCGATAGCAAGTACCTTATTTTTTAAAACAAAGCAATTAGTTAATATTGTAAGCTCCAGAATTGCTTTTGAATGATGACCGATTTTACGTTCAAGTATCAATCACGGTTCCTTAAAACCAGGTACTAATGCTCTAGAAGAAGTCTGAAAGGGAATCCAAAGTTATCCAGATGCATAGGAGGAGAAGGATGAGTTTAGGTAACCTTGTAGTTGTGACTGGAAATCAAATATGGGCATGAAGAAAAATGCTTTCTTTGTCCAAAGGAGTGATCACATGTTGACAGCTGGAATTTACATGGCTCCTTATTCAATAAGCTAGCAGCCTTCACTGCATTCCAACATCAGCAACACAATAGTGGCACAGAAACAAACTGACACATTACACACGGTCCAGCTGTCCCTTGCACTCACTACTTCCCACCCCCCTTCTCTTTAGACTTCCTCATCATCTTCCAGTGTGAGTTTTCACATGTATTCCAATCTGTGCATGTTGTTTACCGTTACATATATACATGTATTATATGCATACATATTTGTTTTCATGTATGTGTACCCAGGCCTATATGCTTGTAGACAGTGTAAGCTTTTTTTTTTAAGCAAGCAATGAAAACATGAAAACAAAACAAAACATTCCACAACTTTGCTATAAACCATGGGGAAAAGAAAACATTTTGCTTTATGTGGTATGTATTTCCCACATTAAAACCCCATCAAAATGTCAAAGGGCTTACACTGGGTGTACGTGGCTTTCTTTATGAACTCAGGCACAAAGGGGATGTGACCTGTATAGTAACTGGTGCTATAATTAGCCCTGATTGTTTTTTATTGCCTCTTGTACAAAAATAGTCATACGAAACCACAGAGGATGAAAAAGGGATATAGAGACAGCCCTGGAGGACCTAAAGGCTGCCCCCCCTCCCCAACCCATTCCCCTGGAATAATATTTCCTTAGCCTATTTTAACATTTTGAGGATGCACACTATACATTAACTAGATAGTATATTCTATTAGGAAGTCCTAAAATCTGTCACATATCCAAAGCAGTAAATAGCTCCTCTCAAGATTCATTGGAAATAGTTTTATTTATAGTCATGCTCCATGTTGGGTAAAATACATTCCTACTCCAAAAACTAAATTGCATAAATATCCTTATTAAATAATATTATCAATTGTAAATCAGATTTTTATAGTTTTTAGATATTCCAGTTTAAATATATACCTTTTGCTGGAGATGAAGGAAGACATTAGTAATTCCCATACATATATACCACATCCTTAAAAGATGGGAGAAAGAGACATGAAGTATCATGAATCAGATATTTAACTTTCATCTCTACCACTAGGGGGCGGCATTTCCCCCCCAGAACTGACTGGTAGGCAATCAACCATCACATCATTGTAACATTGAAGGCACTTCAAAAAGGCTCAGATGTTTAACTATTGTGTTAGTGATCATACATTCATATTGGGCTGCAGGCCAAAAGAGAGAGAGAGAGAGAAAGAGAAAAAGCCAGAGACTTGCAGCTGAAAAACTATAAAGTAGAGAATTCTACCTTAGAGCAAAACCATCTTCAGTGACAAATTTCAAAGGCCATATGTATGCGATTTTCATGAAAAGCAGACGACCCTAAATTTCTTTGTTTAACTGGAAGCGATCTTCCTCATAGAACAGGCAGGTTCTTTCTGCAGTTTGCCTTGTTTATGGTGCCGTTACAAATTTCACTTTTCTTTCTAGTACTACAATCAAGTCTGGGAGTTCAGTGTAATGCCAACGGGTATTTCATTAACACTGCCACCTCTAGCATCTTCAAGGGAATCACCTCAGGCACAACATTACTTCGGGACCGCATTTATTGTATTTGGATAAAGTAAAATAAAAACGTAAACCTTCTAACACAAACTTCACTCAACAGTGGAAACTCAGAGGGCCATAAATTCCAGAGGAACTGTGAGAAAAGTGTTCCTGTCCCCACCCATCTGAATTTGAGTGAAATCCATTGGAATCAAGGAAATGATCCTTAAAAAGAAGATGCTGCTGCATCTCAGACGACAGATTTTACCTCTTCAAAGGATTTATTTTTTTTGCCCACCTTACCTGAGGTTGGCATTTCTAAAGGTATTTAAACTTGTTTGCATGTTGTTATTATTGTTATTGTTTTTAAGCAGGGAAGAACATAACTAAAAGTAGTTATTCCTATTTCATAATTTTAAGCGCTATTTTCAGCGGTGGTCAGAAGTTACCTTTCATTTTGACACCCAGAGTCTGGGATGAAAATTCTAATAAACCTTGCTCATTGTTTCAAAAGGATATTTAATTTGATTCAACTTTCATAGAATTGTAGACTCTGTGAAGCTTTAAAAGTCACTACTGAAGTGGTAGTTTGAATTGCCCCTACCCCCACTTTGTTTTCAAAATACAATACATTTTTTGTAAATAGAGATGAATGTGAAAAGAGTCACATCTTCCTTTTAACATCAGGAGTGTTACTTGATATGTATCAATATTTCCTGTCAGCTTTAACAATGCAGGATCTTGGGCCTTATAGTATCCTTAGACTGCTAAATATTGTTTGCTTAAGTCAGCTCATTCCAGGCCCTTTTATGTGGCCTGACAGTTGATTGGGAGAAGGCCCACTAACTTTCTTAAAGTGTGCAGCCATCCGTTTGGCGGCCAGCACTGGGGGTTCCACATGAAATCCTCTTTAGATAAATTCATACTTGCTCAGGGTGATTAGCCTTACAGCTTGGCTGGCTCACTTGTCTTAAAAAGCAAGACATTCTTGATCAATGCAGAGCTGAGGTTGTCTTCTATTAACTAGGTAGTGTGCAACTAAGGCCTTGTGAAGATGCGACCTCAGGGAAAAAAAAGGCAAGGTTTTGTGTGTGGGTATTTTTTTTTTGGGTGTGTGTGTGTGTGTGTGTGTGTATGCATGGGAGGGAGGTGTTTGGGACTTTTTTTCTTTTTTTGAAGATGACAGGCCAAGCTTGACAACCTAATCCTTCAGGCTTGTCTTAGTTACTGAAAAGCTCAAGTTGTGTCAAAGGAACCAGCTGATAAGTCTCCATGCCAAACTAACAGCTTCATTGCAAAAAGAAACTTTTACATTAAATTCCATATGTCTTCTTTTGATACTATCTCCAAACCTAACCTATTCTTTTTCAAAAACAGGTAAGGCTTCTCACAAAAACAAAACCAAAAAAACTAAATAGTAACTTCCATAGAGGGCCAACTGGGATATCGTCCAGTTAATAGACTATCATTATTTATCATTATTATTATTATTATTTCTTTAGAGATATTAGAAATCAAAGTGGCCATTGGTTGTCCCTATTTTTAATGACATGTTATTAGCTGAAATTTAAAAGGTGTCAATCAACAAAACATTATTTTGGTAATTGACTAACTACATTTTTCATTCTTGCTGCTGCTCCTACTTGCTATAAAAGTTTGCCTGTAAATGACCTTCTTATTATAGGTAGTTATAATTACCAGGAAAGGCAGTTTTACTGAAGCAGACAACTTTTCTTTTTTGACTTAGGCTCTGAGTGTTAGGTAACAGGAGAATGGGTAATAGTTATCTCAGAATTTTTTTTTTATTTTAAAGAATCCCAAATCATCAAGAATCCTTGAGACTTACAGGGGTAGACGTGTAAATGACAGCAGCACAATCTTTTGGTGTTCTTTGGGGAACAGGGGAAGAATATTTCCAATAAAGCAAAAGTCTTTCTTTGCTTATGCTGTGAGACATTTCTGCTGTGACAGGTTCACATTTTGAAACTAGCTGTTCATTTAAGAACTTTAACTGAAGTCAATTTTGCCCCCAGTTGGGGATGGCCTTAACTTTCCCACTCCATAATGAGATCAGGAAAAAAAAATCCCCTTAAGAAATTCAGAAAAAATAAACAAATAAAGCTTTTATCTGTTAAGTGAAATATTTCCCCCATTTCCCTGAGGTAGCTCTGCTGGTTACTTTTCCAAGGGAATTGCTGTACATAGCAGGGTTGAATAGCAGGCATTTTCTACTGGTCTGATTAATGTTTAGGAAAAACAGATTTCTTGAAAATTAACCTATTGTGTAATTATGTGTCTGATTGCAACAGCAGTGTCCTACTTAAAAATCTTTACGAAGAAACGATTTTACCATTTCCTTCCAAACAATTGCTAATTTAATTGTGTTAACCCTCAAAATAGTGATTCTCTTCAGGTTTCTGGGCTGATGAAAGTAAACTAAGAAATACAGTAGGCATAAATATCTGCCTAGGGAAACCATTATCAAAGGGTTAATCAGCTGGTAACCTGCCACTCTAAATGTGTGAGAAGAACTGGGAATTTTTTAGCCAGATTTCTTTTAATGTATTCTTTAGCTGTTTAAGAATCCTATGCCCACAGGTTATATCATATCTGTAATAAACACTGTACCCTGAGTTTCAGTACCTTTCAAAACACTGCATGGAGGCTTTGTTCCACATTTCTATAATTAAAGTCAATTTTTCTCCCTGCCTCCCTGATTGCTTGCAACTCTGTGTAAGAAGAGGGGAAACTCATACCTCATGAGCTTTGAATTCAAAAGGGATTGTTTTGCTTTACTGCCTGGTATTACTTTTGAACTTTGTTCTTTAAGAAAGGAAATAAAAAGATGCTCTATTACCCTTAATAAACAAACTTGCTATATTCCTTTTTTCTTCTACGTTTCCGTATACTAAAACTCAAATGTGTTATGTATTGGATTTCAAGCAGTGGAATTTGGCACCAAACAGCGGCAACACAACATAAAAAAGAGCAGCAAATATTATTAGGTTCATCATTGTCCTACTTCCATTTTGCATATAGGCACACCCACACTCTCCCAAAATAGTATTTAAGTCATATCCAGGGATGACACAGGGGAAAGGGCAAAGGACTTTTGACTCCTGAGCAATGTGAGGACAGCCCAGGGCCATCGTCCCAGATGCAGAAGTTGACTCTTTTTGTGGCAACATTATTTCTGATGTTAGAAGCGCTCAAGCTTTTTAGCCAAATGTTGAAGGGGGATGGTGGGGGTGGAGGAGATGAGGGGAGAGAAGTGCCAGATTAAGGTGAGTAGACTGAGGTAAATTTGGGTGATATCCTTCCTTGATGAGGTGCAGTTAAGAGTGGCCCCAAGGTATGCTCAAATCAGAACAGAAAGCAACTCCTGAACCTTGTAATTTACATGCACAAAACAGGGGAGGTAGATGTTTCTAGTTCTCTGAAATGGATATTTTCAAGAGCATCATCACAGCAGCAATAATAAACATGTGCAGCTGCCTGGGCTGTGGTAAAGAGTCCCGTGGAAGATAGTAGATAGTTTTCTTTAGTTTGACCAACTCAGATTTCCTCAGCAAGAGCAAAGCAGAAAAACTTGTCCTGTAAATGTCTCCACTAGCCTGCTTCTCTGTGCCTTCTCCCAGCACCCCCCCCCATTCCCCCTTCTTGGACACTTTTGTTTTATTTAGGAATATGTTGCTGGAATTCAAATGAGTTATCTATTCTGTGGCCCCGTCATTTTCCCACAGAGGCCTTGTGGCTGGCTGACGCACGGTCCAGTCGAAACAGGGAGAAGAAAAGGAGACAGCAAAAGAATTCTTTTCAACTCTCTTTTTTTATGTTTCACTCATTTCTCTCTTCTCTCCCCCCCCTCCTCCTAGTCCTCCTCCCCTCTTAGGCTTTCCTCACCCCCTACCCCCCCACCCCCAGCCTCCTTGGTCCCACTTTACCCCCTTTATGTTACACGATCGCTCAAATTGAAGCCCAGGAGGGTCCTATAGGGAATGCATAGGATCCCTGGGAGAAAAAAGCCCCCAACAAGCTATACACCAGATGTATAACGTTATATGGTCAAACTGGCAAACACAAAAGCTGAAAAACAAAAGGCGTGAATTAGGGAGAGGCATTCAAAGGCGTGTTTTCAAAACCAGCCGGGCCAAGAGCCTGGATACCCCTCCTGAGACTAAATGCTTGAAAGAAGAGGTGCTAAAGAAAGAAAGGAAAAGAAAAAAGCCCATTTTTTCTAATTAGCTGAGGCCTAACAGGCACTGAATTTCGCAACTAGTTTTCATCAAGGGGGCTGTGGCTTGTGAAACTAAAAAATATGCTTTGAAACCTGTGATGCATGGCTTCCCCTGACTAAGGCTAGAATTAGTCCCCTGGATTTTTTTCCCTCTCTGGGCTTTTGCCTTCCTTCATGTCATGCTCTCCTTACTACCCCCCATTACAAATATTATTTAGGTTGGGGAAAAAAACCAAAACAAAACAGTACCATCCCCACCACTAGAAAAAGCTGAAATCTTTTTCTCCACCTTCAAGTCTAACTCATTATCAGGGATTTTCTTTTTTCCTTATACCAAGCTAATACTGACTTCTTGCTATTAAATTCATTCAAAAGCATTTCCAAACATCAAATGGGGGGAGGGGGGTGGAGAAGGGCTGGAAGGGAGAGGAACCTGTCACACAGAGTGTGTGTATATGTATGTGTTTTCTCTAAGTGCTAGGATTAAGATTAAAAGCTTTTTACCACTATGAATTTGGATATTTGAGGGTTGGCTTCTTGCCTTGTGTTTCCAAACATATAAAGACAGTGTTATTCAGACCTGGAGGTGTATTCCCTGAGCAAACCTATTATGTTGCTGTGTCTTACCAAGAACACACACAGACAGTTAAAAAACTACATATTATTTAAAATGAACAAAACAATGTCAAAACTAGAAACACCCCTACCTGACCCCCAACCCCAACTGTTTACGAAAGGAGAAGCATAAACTTTCTTTCATCAAGTTTCAAACTGGGAGAAAACCTGTTTGCAAGAGGTTGGTGGGCAGGCAGCATTTTGAGGAGTGGTTACTTTAATTGCCACACTGTCTGGCTTAGTTGCATGTGGTCCTGCATGATGTGTTTTAGTAACAAATACTTGTTCTAATGAGTCGGCCTTATTAGAGAGCTCCTCATATTCTTTCATAAAGACCAGAGCCATTCTGAACTCTCAAGGCAAATAGTCTCTTGATAGGCTAGTACCAGAACCTATATGGTCTGTGATTACAGTTTTCCTACATTTTCGTAAGATACATTTTTATTTTTATGCTAGAGGAGGGCTAAGATGG